GTGTGACGCAGTAAATGTGCACAAAAGATTCTCGGGTGAGAAGGATAAAACTGAAAAATCACTATGTTATACAAAAATGTTGTGCTCTAAAAATGCATGTTGTGGAAACAAGATTCATCCAACAAACGAAAAGGACTGAAGACATTAACAATCGCAAGCTGATACAACCTTTAAGTAGTATAAGGGTCGTTCTTTCCTCTCCAGATAGAATGGCCCTGGTCACTTCTGTTATTAGCAAAGCAAAGTCCTTCTGAATTGTCAACTAGTCACCAGAATGACCTCATTTCAGGCAGTTCTCAAGGTCATTACTGAAGACACTAGGGAACTGAGGAATTAAACATGGTTACAAAGGATTCTCAACTGTGAAACATCTCAAGACCTCTAACATGATAATGTGCACTGGATGGCCATAAAATGCAAGTAGTCACTACGTGTTTGTGGCCATGCCATGGGCCTTTCCACAAAGACTACCAATTAATATGTCACAGAACTCACTTTTTCAAGAAAAAATGTTGGGGAAATACCCTATTCTAGTGGTTCTTAAAGCATGGTTTATCAGCTTTATTGGGGGTTTATTCCAAATGCAAAATCTCAGGTCCCACCCAGACCTACAGAATCCGAAACTCTGGGGGTGGGATGCAGCCATCTGTGTTTAACAAGCCCCTCGGGTCATGGTGACGCAAATGGAAGTTCAAGAAAAGCTGTTCCAGTCTAAATCACTACCATTTCTTATTTACTGCATAGTAGCCTACAAGTCTCCACACAGCAGCCAATTATAAACCATCATGTCCTCTCTCAGCCAAAAACCCTCCAACACACTGCGCCTAGAATAAACCCCAAGTGCCTTATGGGAGATACCCTAGCTGATGCGGCCCCCTGCTCACCACTCTGTTCTTACCCTGAGATATTCTCTCCCTTGTTTACAACCTTCCAGCCATACTACTCCTTTATATTCCTGGAACACTAGCAGACTGTTCCTGTTCCAGGGCCCTCCTGTGCCCTCTGCCCGGAACACTCCTCCATGCTCTCCCCTTCCCCCACATCAACACAGCTAGCTCCTTCTTGAAATCCAGGTCTCAGTATCAACGCCACCTCCATGGTCAGACCCCAGTGATGCTCTACATGACACAGTTCCATTGTCTTCACAGGGGTTATGGCTATCTGCTCTGATTTTGTTTGCTTGTAAGCTCCATGAGAGCAGGAAGCTGGTCTGTCTTGCATTAAGTAAATATTTGCTAGATGAATATAGTCTGTCTACAGAGCTCTAGTTTTACCATTTTTACCTGTGGTTTGTGGGCAAGTGGAAGCTGCCCAATGCCCTCTTGGTCCCCTCTGGATGACCTCTGAGCTGCGTGTGGCCTCCAGCTTCAAAAGATGGGCCTGACATAACATCCCTTATTTAGCTACTTCCCAATATGCCAAGATAGTAATGTCTTACTGGCGAGAAGACAATGCCAACTTCCTTTTGGACATTAAGGAACATGTCAACAATCAAATGACTTTTAGAAAAATGTAAATAATAATTCAATAAATAAAGTCATTTAAGTTGTTTATCATGGACTTCAAGAAGGGTGTTTTCATTCTGATTAGAAAAAAATAGAACCTAAACAAATTTTTACTTTAATTTCCTTAAATTGCCCAAGTGAAACATTATTCAATGTGGTGAATTCCAACAGCCTCCCCGCCTGTTAGAATCATATAAAGTACAAGGACTTGTTATGAGACTGACCAAATGTACCAGCATTTAGCATTTTGTGACCTTGGTCATGTTTGTTAGCCCCTCAAAACCCTGGGTTTCTGCATCCATTAAACTTGGATCACAACAAGTTACAGCAGAGTAATTAAGACAATCAAATGGGATAACATTTGTGAAAGTGACCAATAACAGGCTTTTTGAAACTTGATTCCTGCCAACTGTTCTGCGAAGCCTTTCAAACATGTTCTCTCTTTCATTCTTATTCACTATAGGTAGTACTATTCCCATTTTACAGAAATTGAGGCCAAGTGATGAAGGACTTTGCCTGAGGTCACAGAGCTGCAAGCATCAGCGCTGGGTTTTCAAAGTGAAGTTTATCTAACTCAAAGGTCCTAGCTCTTAACCATCATCCCTAGTGCTTATGAAATGCTGAACACAGGCTCGATCCACCACACAGTAGGTGTTCTATAAATGCAAGTTTATCTTCCCCAAACTTTCAACAGTGCACCTGTTTCTTTTCCCATGCTATACTGCCATGAGGCAGTAGATATCTATCTGCCACAATCCATTTCACTGAACATTTCTTAACTTTTACCTCTTGATGGAAAAGTATCCCAATTGTCTGAGAGAAGATTGTTCAAATTATTTCAACCTAAAGGGAACTCCCATAACTGCCCACATGGTTCCTCACTGATTGTCTTTACTCTTTTTAGGATATGTCACATATTGTGTTCATGGCACATAGGTCTATGGTGTGTGATGTGCTGTAGCAGAAACGAGATGGGTTTTGGGACCAAATAGTCCAGAGCCCCACGACTCATCTCTGCCACTGACTAGCTGGATGACTCTGCACATGTTTTATTCCCTGAGTATGTTTCCTCATTTAGAGATGGGGAGAAAATCCTCTCTCTTACAACTGTTGCAACTAAATAACATTAGTTCCCTCCTGCCCTTCACGTTGCCCCCCTCTTTGGATAAGCTCTGCAATTTTAAGCATTGAAAATGTCTCTTTTGTATTCCAACAAAGCTGTCTGACAATACTTTAAGAGAATGGAACTTGTATGTGAAATTGATGCTGCATGTCCAGGTGGCCATCTGGGGAAGTGAGAGGTTTCTTTCGGTGATGCACCACTGCTGAGGAAAGCATGAGAACTTTGCTATTACAATTGCTCTTGGAACCAGTTTGAGTCACTCAAGAAAGGCGGCTTGTTATTCAGGGTTATTTTATGGTTCACCCCCCGCCACCTCTTTACTGGCTCCCCTTCTTATCCCAAAGGGAAGTCTATGCTCAGTACTGGGAGGGGTACAACTTAATTTTTGCCAAAAAGAAAAAAAATGTACATACACACACATATATATGATGACATTTTGACCATGCTCCTTATTTATCACTTTGGGTTCAAATGATCTTACTATTTCTAACAATCAAAACCACCACAAAAGGATGAAGGTGTGAAGTGAGGAAATCCTCCAAAAATCTAAAGGTAATTCCAAAAGATGACTTCCACCACTGGTCTGACACAATGGAAGCAACATGGATATTTAGGTATAGCCTTTGATGGTGACTGACTATTTTGAAGCGCACTTTATTTGGATTCATATGTTCAAGTTAGATTATCTTAAACACTGATGTACTATGAAACTTAGCCATATAAAAATATTGCAGTCAGTTCAGCAGCATTTACTGGGTAGTCCTCAACAGCCAAAACTATTCCAGAAGAAATGTTTTAGACTGTTATCCGGAAACTTTTTAAACTGTATACTCTACCAGTCATTGAATTCTAAATGTGCACCCCAAATTTATATATGGTTACTTTATTTATATGTTATATACATATTGTTTAAATTATAATAATATGCATGTATTTGTAAAGTATGTGCATTATAAAACATATAACAATACAAACTGTTAAGACAAAAATGTGTGTGGTACACACATTACTTTTTTTTCCTTATCTTTGTGGAGCATCTTGTGTATATCTGGCACATGTTCATACATCCTGCTTTGGAGACCACTGTTTTAAATGACAATGATTGTGATAAAGGGGCTAAGACCCTTTTTTGTAAATGGCTGTTAAGCAAAACTATTACCTTTCAGTATTTGTTTAGTTACATATATTACTTACACCAAAAATCAAATACAGTGCAGATTCACCAAGAGTGCAATACACAAATACATCAAGTAGGAAATACTTGAGCACAATTCATCATTATCGGTCTAGAAGACAAAACTTAACAGAACTGCTAAACACTGCATGCTGGGCTGACATGAGACCCTCATAAATAATGAAACACTATAAAAACACGGGGAGGGTACTTCTATAAGTGTAATATGTAAAGGAGGCAAAGTCAGATATAACTTTGAATATGGTAACTGAAGGCAGGCCAACCTGTTCTGAGTTGACCCTGGTCAGATTATGAATCCTATAGAGTCAAAAACTCAGACAACAATGGCCTAAACCACTGTTTCCCTGACTAGTGTGCTGGAGTTGCCCTATCTTTGTACTTGTACTCACACAGAGAACGCCAACACAGTCATAAGAAATGAGCTAACTACGAAAAGGATGGCAAGAAAGAAAGGAAGAAGAATCACGAGACCATCTGTCTCTGAATTTGTGTGTGTGAGGGGGTGTTACCCCCAGTGTCTGCTCAAATGCTTATTCAAAGTTATAAAAAAATACTTGTATTCATAAATCCAACGGATCTCTCAGACAAAAGATTACTTCCTTATTTCAACTGGCATTCTATAGCAACATTTGGTGCAATACGTGAAGTCAAGCAATTTCTTAAAGTTTCCTTATGAGAGGATGATATATGATTTTATAATGTTGAAAGTCCATTTTAATTTACAAAATAATTTTTCTAAAATGATTATGTCATAGTAATAAGCTTGCTTTTGATGCAGAAAAATCAAAGGCATTCTTAAAAAAAGAAATTCAATTTTGAGTTATGCTTGTAAAATTTGCCAGTTCTCATTAAAGAACAACGAGCCACTGGAAATTAATTAAGAGCAGATTTGACAGCCTACAATAAAAACACTTAAACGTATTTAAATTGCTCTGGATTTTTTTTTAAAAGATTTATTTATTTATTTGAGAGAGAGCGAGCGAGCGAGCACAAGAGCGTGAGCAGGGGGAAGGCCAGTGGGAGAGAGAGAATCTCAAGCAGACTCCCCACTGAGGGTGGAGCCTGCCACAGGGCTCACTCTCCTGACCCTGAGATCATGAACTGAAATTACTCTGGATTTTTGAACAAAATAAAATTCCAACAAGGTGTCTTGGGCTGAAATTCCTTGATCTCTTACCTTGCCATACTTCTGGGCATAAGACCCTGTGAGCAGTGAGTGGAAAACAATGATGGTTTCATCCAAGTCCCAGACAAACACACGCTGAAGAAAAATACAAGTATCAGAGAATTATCAAGTTCTAAGGAAACAGAAATCTCTTAGTTGAAAACATCTGACTTCATTGTTGGGTATAATCTCAATACCATTTTATAAAAAACTACGCTACTCCATTAATTTTTTTCCAAGTTTGCCAGATGTTACCATGATAAAACCAGAGCAGGGAGAGTGATTAAAAAAAAAAGTCATAATAAGCTTAAAGATCAGATGTCCTAATTTGAATGAACTCATCTAAATATTTACTTGCAGTTAATACCCCAAAAGACCCATTTGAACTTAGGATATAAGTGTGCCTGAAATGCTATTTTAAAATCTTTTGCCTCGTGGATTCATGAGATTTTGCAATTCGTGCAAAGGATTAAATTTTTAAAAATATTTTTAAAAAATCAGTGAATGATCCCTAAACAGAAATTGCAAACTGTAGACCTCTGGGTTAGATTAGGCCATCAGATGGGTGGTTTAGTTTGCACAGTGTTTAGAAAGATTTCAAATTATTTTTTGATGTACTGTATGGTGAATAACGTAACATAATAAAATAACATAAAATTTTTTAAAAAAGGAAGATTTCAAATTATTGATCAATATTTCAAGATTAGGAGATTTCACACAAACATCAGGGTTCTGACCGCAGCAGGGCAACTGGAAGATACTGCAATGCTGACTGATATTCCACATGGTGGTGATGGGTGGGCCCCCTTCAACTGGGCCAATGCTCCCTGCTCTCCACATTCTGCTGACTCCCTGGCCCTGTTCACTCATTTATATCACCTGCTGGGCTCCTGAAGGCACCGGAATGCACTACTATCCTTCAGGTGAAAGAAGTGGTGTCTTACAAAGAGGCACAATGACTATTATTTGATTTTACCAAGTCTGGAAATTTGGGTATTTTTCTTAATTGAAGGATGCAGTTGTGTAAGAAGTAACACAGTATGGTTAAGAACAGTTTCCCTGATGTTTTAGAATAAAAATCAACCTGCTTAGCATGCACATATCTCAAAAGAGCTCTCAACAAGAAAAATAGATGCGTGGAAGTTCTTATAGATACAAAAATGTTAACATGTATCAAATGACTGGAATTTTTCCCATTTTCAGAAGACAACTTTTCATTTCCATACAGATTAATTTCACCTTTTTCAATTTTATTGACCCCCCAAAATTTTATTGACCCATATAAACATCTTTCATTACCTTAATACTACCAAATAGAGTATCTCTCAGAAAATTATCCCACAAACAATGGCTTTATTTTATAAATTTCCATTTGTGCCAATTAGGATCAAAAGATGCAATTATCTCAGGTCTAGAATTTGTAAAGTATCATCATTTTAAAGTTTTTAATGTTGCCATTATAATGGATGGAATCTCAAATTTTGCAGCTGTGAAATGCCTACATGATAAGATCCACACATTACATGATATATTCTTTTTTTTTTAAGGTTGAGACCTTATGGCACTATAAGGTATAGAATATATCATTCAATAAAATAAAACATCACATTCCACTCTTTAAGGATAAGTCAGCATACCTCCAGGTCACTGTCAGGAGGCGGGGAGGGATTATTTTTCCGGCCTCTTCCTCGGGATTTTGACCCAGAACTCCTGCATGTTCTCTCATCAAGATCTTTGATAGGTGTGGAGGGGCTTTGCACGGTATCAAACTCTCCTAGAAGTAATATGACTTGTATCAAGAAAAGTGCTTCATTTTTAGATCAGGTATGAGTCTTTGTTATGAATTATCTTAATGAATCCTTTTACAATAGAAAACTCATGACAAAAAAGATTTATCATCCCCAAAACGCAAAATCCCAATTCAATTAAAATTTTTGCAGGTCACACAAATCCCCCGTAGTTTCAATCTATGTGATCTACTAAACCTGAATGTGTTCTATACTCCGTATGTCTTCACTTTCCCTGTCTCTACCCTCCCCTACATATTTATCAAATTTAGCTCTGTTCTCATCTCTTTATGTCAGAGCTCAAAGGAGGAGATGTCTTCTTCTGCATCAATCCCATCCCTCCACCTATAAACTTGACTCCCAACCTCACCCTCTAAGGGAATCGTGCTCCATTAGTTAAACCCTCTCTTAACTTTCTTCCAACCTCTTGTTCTTCTGTGGGCCATGGACAAGCTTAAAAGTCCTTCCCTTGACCTTGCATTTTCACCTAGAAGGTATCTGCTTTGTTATCTTCTCTTTTCTAAGTGATACACCTTAAAAGAATAGTACATTACATGACAGGGCAGTCCAAAGGAAATACAATGGGAGCCACAAATATAACCATATATATAATTTAAAATTTTCTAGAAGCCATAATAAAAAATGTAAAGAAACATGTAGAATTAATTTTATTCGTGGACACTAACTGACCCAATATAACCACAATATTATCGTTTCAGCGTGTAACCAACATAAAAATTATCAACAACACGTTTTACATAATCTCCCTTTCATTCTAAGTCTTTAAACTCCTGTGTGTATTTTACACTTACAGCAGACCTCCAACTGTCCTAGCCACGCTCTGGGTGCTGGACAACCACTCGTGACCAATGGTGACAGCAGTGGACAGCACCTTTGCCTCCACTTCCTGACATCTGATTTGTCATAATCAGTTCACCAAATCTCTAATAAAACTACTCCTACTCAGAGCCCCCGATAACCACCTAACTGACAGATATAATAGACAGACTCAGTCCTTATCTTCCTGGATGCCTGAGCTATGTTTGATCCTCTTAAACACCACGTCCTTAGAGCCATTATTTGGCAGCTGATACCTTGTGGTCTCCTAGCTCTGGAAGCTCCTTCATCAGTCCTTCTCTGTCTAGGAGACATGCACTCCTTTTCCTCCTCCCATTCCTTGTATGCTGGTATTTAAGAGTTCCAACCTTTGGTCACTGTTCTCCTTATTCCACACCATCTGGGCGATCTAACCATCTCACTGGTTAATCACCCTCTCTGAGATGACCCATACATAAATCCCTATCTCCGATGAAGCCACATCCTACAGAAGTTTCAGGCTTTGTATCTAACTGGCCTCTGCATGTCCCCTAGGTACCTGAACGTCTGCCATGTCTAAAGCTGGGGCTGGAGCATCTTATGAGGAAGGACGACTGAACAGCCGCAAATCTGTGGGAGCGGGTTAAGATATACCAAAGCGACAGTGAGGTGCTGCAAAACCTCACAAGTAACAAGAGTCAGACTTACTGTAGGACTTAAAGCATTTCACTCAAATCTCTCTGAATCTCTTTCTTTGTATATTAAAGCATGGACAATGAATTACTGAGGTAAAAATGATTTATATTTAATTTGACTTAAACCATACATGTAAACATTTCTAGGAGAGTCTGAGGGCAAACTACATTAAATTTAAATTAAATTTAAATTACTATATTTAAACAAATATAAAGAAGTTATAACTATTATGCCTTATCATAAAATTAAAGAAAAATAATTATGAGGACAGCCAAGTAGTTATTAATCTAAATAAATAAATCTGAACAAGCTAGATAACATTTAGGTCATACCTCTTCTGAGATGTTCTAAATAAACAGTTATTTTTACAAAGCTCACCTGTAATTATTTCTAATGGTTATAACATTTTCTTTGGGAAACATTGTGCATGTCAGGACAGCATCAAAAAAACACATGTCTGTGCTTCAAATATTATTTGCTCTTAAAACATTGTTAGCATTGTTCCTATCATGGGTCTCTGCTATTGACTGTGTGAGAGTAGACAATGTAATAAATAAAGGCTCTATAGTTTTCAGTTGAATATCGCCCCATCTTAAAGTAAAACATGTTTCAGCTTACTTGTACAAGCATCAAATGAGGCTTTAGGTATTTAAATACATGCCAACTTAAAAAAAAGTCACACAAAAATTTTTCTATTTCTAGTTATTTTTTTAAACAGAATTTTTGTAAGGTTACTATGCCCTGCAAGTCAAATGTTCTCATTCTGATAAAATGCTGATTCAAATTAAGCCCCATTTATTAATAAGCTTATAAAATTTTTTGGATGACCTCCCACAAAAACTTGTCTTTCTACTCATGATAGATCAATTTTCAGCTGTTAACTATCATGAAGCAGTTTTGTTCTTGCTAAAAATGCAAGAGCTGAGAGGTCAAAAACTTGCAAAATTCCAAAGCCACTGTGATCAGTTATGAGTGGCTGATTGTTGACTAGGTCCATAAAGAAGGAGTTTGGCAGAACAACTCAGCTATTAAATGAACTGGAAAGCCAGTTGCTAAAGAGGAGAAGGAGGAAGAAGGGAAAAGGGTGGTCATAGGAAGTGTCCACATTTCAATAAAAGTAGGATTTGATATCACTGATTTTTGCCAAGTAACAGAAGGATCTTGAAAAGGCTCTAAGAATTCAGACAAAATATGGACACAAGTGTTTTGATGAAAGTAAAGGCATATCCTTTTAAGAAAACTATGAAGAGTAGCTCCACATTTATCCTCAGTATGTGTCATGTACTGCCTTCTTTCTTAAAAAGTTTATTGAAATATGTGTTTGGCTCTATTCACTGCTCATTATGTCTGTGAGATTCTTGCCATTTTGTAACCTGCAGCAGTTGTTTGCTCTTTCTTTCATGTGGCTAGAACTTCATTATATATGTATACTATGCTTTATTTATCCATTTTGTGAATGAACATTAGGTTATATGTAGTTTTAGGCAATTAGAAATAAAGCTGCTATAAACATTCTTGTTCACCTCTTGTGCACATAAGCTCCTATTCCTCTAGGGTATATTCCTAGCAGTGGGACTGCTGGGTCAGAGGGAAAGCGTACGTTCATCTTTAGTAGACACTGACCACCTTTTTCTAGTGTGGTTGTATTAATTCACTCTCTGACAAGCAATGAGATTTCCAGTTGCTCCACATCCTTGCCAATACTTGGTATTGCTAGTCTTTTTTTATATTAGCTATTGTGGGGGTATGTTGGTCTCATTGTAGTTTTAATTATCATCTCTTGTTGAATAATGATGTAAAACACTTTTTTTTTTTTGCCCATTTGGGATCTTTTTTTTTTTTTTTTTAATGAGGTAACTGTTTAAATCTTCTGCCCATTAAAAAAACTGGGTTATCTTTTTCTTATTGATTTGTCAGAGCTCTTTATTGTACGACATTCTTTACATATATATGTCTGAGTTAAACTTCACTTTAACCCAGTGAATTTGGTCCTTCATTATCCTCTTTTAATAATGGGAAACCGGAGGCATGTGAGATTTTAAATTAACTTACCAAGATGAAATAGCTTGTATGCAGAATGCTGGTATGATTCCAGAATTCCTGCTTTAACCACTAGGTTATCCTTTCTCTCCCAAACAGCAACAGATCCTCCGGGTTACAAAGAGGTCAAACTTATATCTGTTCCTACCCATCAAAAGAGTATATAGACTTTTTACAATCTTGTGAGAGTAAAGGCCAATGAATTCACCGAAAGATCTTCACAGTAAAAGAGTAGGTCCTGAAGAGTGCATGTATAGTAGCTAGGCTCCTATAGTAACCACCCAGGGGAACTGGTCTGACCTCTATATCTTTTGAAGGTGCTATTCTTTCTTCTGATAAAGGGAAAAACCAGGAACTTGAGCTCAACTGGTCATTAAACATTTGTTGACACTTTTTTTTTTTTTTAAAGAGAAAGCTGTTAATTCCAGTGTCCCTGCCAAATTTCATTCAAGTAATTGCACTAGGCAGGGAAAAGGCAAATTGGCAGAGAAGTTAAATGTGGTCAGTCCTTTCCATTTAAATCCTCTTGATAGCTTCAATTAAATGAATGAACACTTTGCCTTCCTTCCTGTCCTTGTGTGAAATGCCATGAAGCTATGGAAATTCTGCTGAGTTCTGCCTAAGAAACTGGCTTCTTTTCAGAGTGAAGTGATCTTACTATATCCTTTACTTTTCTGAAGCACCTGTAAAGTTTAATTAGCTAATGTATTGTAATGTTTGCCAAGGTCTCAGAGTAAAGGATGATACTGTTACAAATTACTGATTATTTTTCATTTTCAAGATGTTTAAAATATTTAAAGAGGGGGAGCTACAAAAATCTCTAATCTTTATGTGCTAATCAGTCACCAAACTTTCTGAATGCAAGTCAAAAATATAATATACCTGAGATAATCTTTGTTAAAGGCAAAAAGAGATCTTTATAAAGGTAATATAAACTCAAATATCTGTTCTTAATCAGTATGCTAATGTGTCTTTAAATACACTGTCAAACTGCCTAATAAGGTAAAGTCAAGAACTGAATACTATTTGCAATTTCCAAATAACATCAGTCATTACCAGTTGTCCTAGGCTTTTCCTGGGCCAACACTGTATTGGATCACAACAACTGTATGTGATTGAATAATTCTCCTTTAATTAGTACGGTAATGAATAACTACACCTTCTAAGCTTTGAGTATTTAGATCCATTTTCATTTCCTTTAGTTTTATATCTAAACCAGAACTACCCACCTGTCTATTATAGAACATAAAGTATGTTTCTATTTTAAAAACGAGAGCTGTGAACAGTAAACGATTTATGAAAAATTGTGGATGGAATTGTTAAGTCTCTGTATTCAGTCCAAAATGCAGAACTGGTCATTGGGAAATACTTTTCATACCCTTGAACTAAGTACCTCAAATTTCATCAATAACAAAGAAAAATCCCATAGTTATAAACTTGTTGGCTTTTTGCATGAATGTCAGACCTGGAAAGGCAAAATCTAACTTAATACTACCTTGCCTGAAGTTCTGGAGTCACAGAATTCCCTAAAAATCCAGACATGTTATTGTTATAATTTTGGTTAAGAGAATAATACAGTTACAAGTAAAAATGATTTCTTCTTTAAATTCAGCAGAAAGTCTGATAAGACCTGAAAATTATGTCAAACCATGTTGTTGGCATTAGCAATCAACGGAAAGCTAAAGAAATTGCATTCTGATAGTGACTATGAGGATGTGACACATGGATGTGTCCCATCCAAAGTCACATATTCAGAACACCTGCATGCCTGCATTTAGTATTTTTAGTGTAAGCAAAATCGCTATTCTGAATATTTATTATTCTTTAATTAATGGAAAGTTTCCATCTGTGTCTTTCCTGCAGAGAAACTTTTGTGATCACACTGAAATTAGAGCAAAATCAACAGCAAATTCAAAGTGTTATCCAGTGGATATAATATTTGAAAACCAAATATTTTTCACTCATGGTAGTTCTATTCTAGTAAACTCAAAAACTGTCTGCTGGTTCTGTTCCTATCATTCAGTCTCCAGTATCTTGGATGATCAAATACTTCTGTGATTTTTTTTTTTTTGAATACAGTCATCCTACCCTGTTTCCCTATGCATTTACTATTGAGAAAAATCTTTCACAGTTAAGATATCCCCTTATCTAAACATCTTCACCATCCATTAAGCAAGTATTCTGAAATCACACTTTCTTCTTTCCCCTTCTTTTCTTCCTTCCTTCTTTCTTCCTTTCTTTTTCTTTTTCTTTCTTTCTCTCTCTTTCTTATTTCTTTTATTTCCCTCCTTCCCTCCCATCCCTCCTTCTAGATTTATGTATTTGAGAGAGAGAGAGGGGCACGTGCGCATGCACAAGCTGCATGAGTGGGGGGTGGGGCAGAAGGAGAGAGAGAAAATCTACAGCAGACTCTCTGCTGAGTGGGGAGACTGACATGGGGCTCAATCCCGTGACCCTGAGATCATGATCTGAGCCAAAACTAAGAGTCGGATGCTTAACCGACTGAGCCACCCAGGAACCCCACACATTCTTTAACTTGAAGTAATATTCTTGGTGAAATGTAACTACTGACTCAAAGAGGATCAGGACAGATTTAGAACATGGGATTTAAGCTGAAACAAGGTTAAGGTGCGTGAGGCACTAGGAGGGTGAAATCGAAGGGCCTTGAGAATGAATGTCTCCTTCAATAGTGCGCCCCGTGCTTCCCTGGCCTTACCTTAGTCCTGGCCCCGCACAGGACACAACAGGACACGAGGGCTGAGAGAGCTGGGGCGAGATGAAAAGACTAAACAGGAGCATTAAGGGGACAGGGACCAGAAATTCAAGGGGACTGTGTGGTCATGAAAGGGAGGATCTAAAGGGGAAGATGAAGAGGAAGAAAGTGAAATGTAGGAGCACCAAAGACAAAGTCTAGTAGAATAAGAGACAGGTTTTCCTTGGAGCCACAGTTAGATTAGAGACCCTATTCTGAAGAGGGAACCAAAAAGAAAGGATGTCACTATTTCATCAATTCATGATCTGAGCATATCTTGGCTATTACTTGAAGTGTTAGCTTCATTCTCACCTCTTTACGTTCAAATCAGTCTTCTTGCTAACATTCCTTATATTATCTAGCATTTTCCCTTTTCAACACTCAGACATTTTTAATTATTTGCTTGATATTTGTCTTGCTTGTCAAATGGAAGCTAAAGGTATGCAGAGAGTTCATTCACTACTGGAACCTTGGCAGTACCTGGGACCTATCTGGCACGCATAAATCATTGTCAAATGGCCTTAAATCTTCTTGGAATTACTGGTCCAGTTAGAAAGAATTTATAGTGTTGTGACCGTGTTTCCCATTTTCTTGTCCTTCCAACGCTGGACAAAAAAAGATAAGTTTGGATCTTGCAAAATAACTGAAGTCAGAAAAATAAGTTTGAACATACCAGTTAGTGATTATAAAAATTTTTAATTTCATTTTTCTTATTGAATCTTGACAGTTCTTTATATATGCTGGATACAAATCCTTTATCAGATATGTGTTTTGCAAGTATTTCCTCCAAATCTGTGGCTTGTCTTTTTATTCTTGTAACAGTGTCTTTCAAGGAACAGAAGTTCTTGATTTTATGAAGGCTAATTTCCTTTCTTTTAGAGATTGTGTTTTTAATGTCATACCTATAAAATCTTTATGTAACCCAAGGCTACAAAAATTTCCACCATGTTTTCTTTTAGAAGGTTTATAGTTTTAGTTTTTATGTATATTGTATATGGTGTGAGTTACAAGTCAAGATTCTGTTTTGGGATTTTTTTTTGTTTGTTTGTGCTATTATTGTTATTTTTGCATATGGATGTCCAATTGTTCCGGTGCCATTTTTTTTTTTTTTTGAAAAACAAACAAAAAAAACCCTTTACCTCCAACTGACTTTGCACCTTTGTCAAAAATCCATTTTCCAGTGTATGCATATGGGTCTATTTCTGGACTCTCTACACTACTCCATTATTTAATGTATCTATCCTTTTGTCAATACCGCACATTTTTGATAACTTTACTTTATAATAAGTCTTGAAATCAGGCAATGTCAGTCCCCAAACTTTGTTATTTTTCAAAATTATTTCCGCTTATCTAGTTCCTCTGCCTTTCCTTGTAATTTTAGAATCATCTTGATGATTTCTCAAAAAGTCCTGTTGGAATTTGAATAGGATTACAATGAATCTTTATTAATTTTGCATTTAACTTTAAATGCTTCAGCTGTGTCAGCAAATCCAAGTCCAGTGGCACTGCAGATAAGCTTCAGACAATGAAGAATACAACGGATCTTAAGTAAGTGCTAATCAGAGAAAGATATTAAACTACCTACCAATGATCCTACACATCCTAGGAATGTAGGAAATGTTCACTGCCAAGAGCTTCTGATGACTCACAAAGATGAAGGAGCTACACAGTCTCTCAAGCTTAAAGGAAATGTTATCAGTTACACCCAAAGAAGATAATCTTACTGTAGCTTTTCCATATTGTCATGATCTTTACAAAAGAAATGATTAGTCAGGCAAAAGGTCCACTGACCTTTTTATATCCACGTTCATGTATAGATATATATATGCACACACACAGACACACACACATATATACATACATAAATATATGTATATATATACTGCCTTTTGAAATCAAAATCTCTCAACCATCCACATCTAAAAGAAGGGTTTTCTGAAACGCCAGAAGCAAAGCCTCATCCTATACAGTGGTACTGGCACAGATTAAACATCAGCATAATTAGATGAGAACTTCTAACCTTGTTTCCAAAATATCCTTTTTTGCCATATATTAGACCCAGCAAAACATAAAAGTATTTCACCTGGATGAAGATCTGTACCTGGTTGGCTAGTCAGTCCCGGGAGAGATTCCTGCAACTGATAGGTTGAGGTCGAGGATGATGTGCCATCAGCTGTGTTATTTGATGTCATATATGCTCCATACGTGGATGCTGAGTAATACTGGGCATACTGGTTTTGGCCAAAGGCTGTGTAGGATGGGTAATCCTGAAATAATAATTGAGACATATGTGTGCTTGAAGGAGAAATTACTTCTGGTATGCTCCAAAGAAAAGCAATCACTATGGTAACTGAAAGATTAGTATTTGGCTCCATTTGTTTTTGGAGTCCACCGTTTTGAGGTGATCCTAGTGAGTGCACACAGTTACGAACTACCCTGCTGGCTTCGCCAACCAGGTCCAGCACATAATTCTCAAACTGCCTCACTTGACCATGATTACTTATTCGGGGATGCACATTATAAGGTCTTATGCACTGGGAGAGAAGAGAGGGTAAGCACCAGTTCTTACACATCTTCTAATATCACCACAAGGAGATGATATGCCTACCCCTTCTCAGTTTCCATACGGACCTCAGTTGGCGTTTATGTGATTTCTGTTACCCTTCTACATTACTCTTGATAATTATGCATGAAATAAAGAGTAAATAGAAGAAAATGAATAAGAGAAGCTTTTTTTTTTTTTTGGAGAGTTTTTTTGCTCAGCCTTTTATAGGCTATGTGTCATCTAAGGTCTTGACTTAAAGTCTCTAGTGAGGTTTTCAAATATTGAGTTTGCCTCATTTGCTAGAGAAAAAAAAGAAAAAAGAAAGTATTGGATCAACTCCTCCAACCTGCCCTTTATTAAAAATTTCTAAGAACCTTAAAGTGATCTAAGTAATCCTTCAAAATCCTTTTACATATTAAGGTAACAAATAAGAATTTGTTGGAATAATTGGTGTTTAATGTATCTAGCATGTTTTAGCCCAAATTGTTATCAGTGATGACAAATCCTTGGTCAGAATTAAGATTCCCTGATACATGTTCCTAAGAAAACAAAGATCCACATTTGATGTGGTTTCCAAAGAAGGAAATTCTTTATATAAGTAAATACGGGTATAAGCAAATATGTGTATTAACAGAAAGGATTAAGTACAGATGACCCTTGACCAACATGGGTTTGAATTGTATGGGTCCACTGATATGTGGATTTTTTTTTCATTAAATATAGAACAGTACTATAAATGTATTTTCTCTTCCTTATGATTTTCTTAAAAACATTTTCTTTTTTTCTAGCTAACTGTATTATAAGAATACAATATATAACACATATAACATAAAGTTTGTGTTAATTGGCTTCTTATGTTATCAGTAAGGCTTCCTGTCAACAGTGGGCTATTTTAGTTAAGTTTTGGAGGAGTCAAAGGTTACACATGGGTTTTTGACTTTGGGGGGGTTGGTACCCCAAACCCTGTATTGTCTGGTCCAACTCTAGTATGGCAGGAAACTAAAATTCTATTTGTCTGTTAATTTCAGGATCTGATGTTCCCTATCACCACCTGTAAGCTAAGGAAAAAAACCTCTCAACAATATTTGGACAAAGTTCCTAGCAACATATCTTTCTCAGAGTAAAACATTTGCACAGTACCTACTTGGTGTCAGGTAGTGTTCTAAGGCTTTAAGTGTATTTACCCATTTAATCCCCACACCCACCTATGCAGTATTATTACCCCATTTCACACTGAGGGGGATGGAGGCACAATGTGGTTAAGTGATATATCTGCTTGAAGTCAGGCAGCTAGCAAGTTTCAGAGCTGGAATTGGAACCCAGAGAAGCTGACTCCAACATCTGTGTGCTGAAGTTCTCCCTGAGGCTGCTAAAGTCCTTACGGGAAGATGAAGTGACTTAGGGGAAAGGTCCAGACTGCTAGCTCTTGGTGACTAAAACGTCTTTTTGTACTCAAACTTATCTCAGAGATCTCCCCTTCTCTTCATCCCACTACTGCCACCCTGGTCCAAGCTACCTTCACTTCCTGTTGGAGCCAATGGACTCGTTTTCCAATTTGTCTCATTTCTAGGTTTAGTTTTCTCCAAAGTGCCTAAAGCCAGAGTAATCTTTTTAGAACATAAACTGTATGATGCTATTCTCCTGCTCGAAATCCTTCCCACTGGGCTTGGAATAAAACTGAAATCCCTCACAGAGAGATACACATACAGAGCCCTACATACAAACACAGAGAGCCAGGGCCCTGCCTATCTTCAGAAATATGCTTCTCCATCTGCCCTCATGCACAAACTAACTCCCCTTCTTTGAATTCACTAGCACACCAAGGAGTTCACCTCTCAGAGGTTTGGTACCCGCTACTTTCTATGCCCGAAACACCCTAGCCCTTCTTCTTCACCACAGTCTTAGAAGACTTGTCTCGAATGTTGTTTCCACAGAGAAGCCTTCCACAAGATCTTCCTTACTCAAAATTAGATTTCTATTAATATTTTAATAGGACTCCGTTCTGACTCCTCATGCTTTCCAATTCTATATTTACTTATGTGTTTATTGGTTTATTGTTTGCCTCTCTCAGCAGCTGGTAATCTCCAGGAGGCAGGAACCAGGTCCTATCCACTCCTGTCCCCATTTACATGTCTCTAGCATACAGACCAGTTCCTAACACTTGATAACTACTCAGTAAGTATTAACTAAAATAATAGACTGGTATTCCAAACATGGTCCAAAATATAGGTTATGTGTTATATTGGAGCCACTGTATTTAAATGTTCAGATAGTACTGGATCTGTTTTATGCCATAAATCTTTCTTCTCCTTTATGAATCTTTTTTTAAATCCTCCCAAGTAGAACAGAGTAGTCTTTCCTTTATGCTACCTACCATGCTGCCTAGTATATATTTCTATTATTATATTCATTATATCCTACCCTCTTTTCATATTATTTTCTTATCTGTTTCTTTAGGATTGCTTCCTTCCAGGCAGCAGAGAACAATGACATTATTTTTGAATCTTCAATGTCTAGTCAAAAGTCTAATGGATAGTAAGTACTCAATAAATGTTTCCTAAATCAATAAAAAATAAGCAAAATGAAGCTACGTGGATTATCAAAAATTCTCAATATTTTTAAATATAAAATAGGCATACCCAGCTTTAATGTTTAATGTTTTAAGAAACCATTTTTCTAACCAATGCCAAATGACACAGTTTAATTCTATCAAAAATATTATTTTTCCACACTATTTAATAATCACAATTTCTTTTTTTATTTTGTTGCATTAATAAACATTAAGAAGGCAATTAATCTAATTCCTTCAGTAAATCCAAAGAGCACACTTATGCGATAACTTAGATTTTAGAATATATAAAAGTCCAACAACTGTGTTAAAGTAAAATAGTATATTGTCCACTAAGGAAATCAACTACCCTTCTATCTCAACTACTCTGAACATGACTGAGAACTAGGGAATAAGGACAGAAGATTCTGAAGTGTCAGTAACATTCACTCTTGCTCCACACATAATTCCAACAAACTAGATTTTAGAACTCACAAAAATACTAAGAAAACATAATTAGGAGGAGGACTAAGGACTGCTAGAGGCAAGCACAGTGACAAACAAAAATTACAGCTGTCAGGAAAGTAGGAATCAAACATTTATTAAAATGAACCACAGAACTAGAAGAAAAAAAATCCAAGAGGCATTTGGTTTAGTAACAGATATTCTGGACTAAAAATGTCATAACCCAATTATTGGTTGTAGTTCAATCTCTTAATTAACGTTCATAATAACTTGTCAAAAAAATAAAATTATGTTTAGTACAGTTTAAAATAATAGGAAAATATGCAATACATTTTGTAGTTCTATGCCAAATGATTAAAAAGATCGTGGCTTAAAAATTTAAAGGGCAAACTTTCAGCAACCAGAAAACCTAAAATACCCAGAATAACACAGATCCCAAGAATTCTGGAAAGCTACTTTTTACCACCTTGAAATGCCATCTTAATTTTAAATAAAGAAACCTTTTTCTAGGAGAATATGCACTTATATGACAATCTGAAACTATTCTTCAAAGATCTGAAACAGATACAAAAAGCCTAAATACAAAAAAGCTACTATACCTGTTGTGAACCGCTAAAATTCGTTGAATTGGAGACTGAATTATTTGCATAAATAGTAGATGATGGCGCAAAACTAGAACCTAGAAATAAAGAACAAATTGCATTTAAGAAGTATTTCTTTGCAAAATAATAATAACATTTCACTTTGCAGAATCCAACGAAAGAAATATATTTTTAATTTGGTTAAGGCAACAAAACATGAAATTTGAAGTTGAGAGATTTATAAGGAAAAATGTGCTTAGCTCTATCCCTCTTGTGACAACAGTTAAAGTCTTTGCTATAGATGTCTGTTGGACTAAACAGGAGCACATGGGAACCATCTTAAGGACAGCAGCTAACCTTTAAAGGTTAAATGTCTAGAAGAACAGAGGTTTTCAAAGAATAAAATGTGATGCAGACAGAGTACTCCTAGGAAGCTACTGGAACTTTCAAATGGTCATACCAATTAGAGTACTCCTAGGAAGATACTGGAATTTTCAAATGGTCATACCAACTGCATATGCACACAGAAACCATTTGAGTTAGAATGTGGATGGGTTAACTTAGGAAACAGAGAACCAACTTAGAATTGATGCTTATGGCACCCTGTCTTTTCTTTCCTCCTAGGTCCTTTCCTTAGAGCCAAGAGAGATGTGAAGTGGGGCTCAGACTCAAGGAAGAGCTGTTCATACTACAGTCACCTAGGGTTTAAGAGCCTTCTAAAATTTGACTACAAGGTTAAAAATTTAATTATTTTTTAAATTCAAATTTTAAATTATTTTTTAAATTAAAAACAAGTGAAATATCAATTTAAAGATGATTTTTTCAAAACATACATTCTACAGAATGGACTTATGGAGAAGTAAAATGAAAGACTACTGACACAGCTGATTATTTGTTTTATCAATGTGTTTTGAATTGCAATGATATTATGTAATTAACGCAAACTGACCTGGCCCAGAATATCCAACATGAAAGTATTTGGGGGAATAAATGAAAATATACTCATGGTTGCTTTCATACTCCTCACTGAAGCTGTGTGGCTCACTGTGGCTTTACCATTTATGCAACTATATTTCTACCTACAGTTTAGGTAAAGAGAGACCTGCCATTTCAGCCAAAAAGGTCTAGGTAATTATTTCATTTTAGTCGATGAACTAAAATTTCAACAGTAGTTGATTAAAAAAGTATGTTCATGTAACCCCAAATTTATGACTAACAATATAGACAAAATGACAGAAACAAGCTTTTAATGTATTTACTATGTCACTAAAATTCTTTCTGCAACTACTACATAATGATCAGACATAGAAGCAAAAGTAAATACTCAGATACAGAGGATTTTTGCAGGGGGAGGTACAAATTACATAAATATTTCCAGTAAAAAATAGAGTATTAATAGAGGAGAGGTATTTGAGGAATGAACAGAAAATCCGAAATAGTTCAATGGTAAATAAGACTTAGGAAGGTACTAATTCAATTTTAAATATAATCAGAGCAACATTACATACTTAAGGAATACAGACAAGAAAACACTGGGACTTTTTATGAATCTTTGAACCTCACTTAAGGAGATGCCCTACGTGTGACTGACGTGGCCCAGAGGTTACTCTGCTCGGACCTAATGTCCTGCCAATTTTACACAACCTCAACTTAAGTACTGAAATTCGGTATGGGTCATGTTTCTTGATGTATATTCAATTCTTTTCACCATGTTTTTTTTTTCCCCCTAGTTATTTGTCTTTCCTGATGTGAAGAGCAGTAGCAATTAAAACCATTTTCGTGCAGGCATATTCCTACTCTGAAGCCAAGGAATCTCATCCAGAGAATTCCTCCTCACGTAACATGCTTCCTGTGTGGTGGCTTACCTGGCATCTGGTAAGAATAAGGTGTCTGGCCTGGCTGTGGGGTGGAAAACCCCGGGCTGTAACTGAGGCACCCACTCTGTAACGGGGACTGAGTCTGTGAAAGTCCACTCTCCGTCTTGATGCCCGGCAACATCACGCCCAGATCTGTTTGGGAAACACACGTGCAGACCCTTCAATTAGTAAAATGACCTTGCTCCTGAGTTGTAACTTATGCTAGAATATCTAAGCACTAGGCAGCAGGATTACCCGCTCATAAGCAAAGGAGCAGAGAAGACGTGAGATACCGTAAGTGGGCAGGCTGTAGGGCTGTCCTGTCTGTGAGTAGGCTGTGTAGACGGCCGGCTGCTGCATCCCCGAATACTGAGTCTGGCCTGCGTAGGCAGACATTGTTTGAGCTGCTGGTGTAGAAAGAATGTGTGGATAGGGCCTAAATATCAGAAAAATAGCATTACTGTGGCAACAAAGACTGCACATTATTTCAGACAGCTTAGATTCAGTGAAACCTTATAATAGCCCGGAAGTAATCCTCTTCTTTATCCACAACACAATTCTAACAATAGGGAAAGGACAAGGGCCCAAACGTCCGAGCTACAGATCAGTCTAGTGACTTGGGACAAGTGGTTTAAACTCCCTAAAGACTTACACCTCACCTGTAAAATGAGAAATTTGGATCAGATATTGTATCTAAAGTCTCTTCCAGGTCTATAGTACCTGTTTACCTCTGAAATAGTGTGCAGGGCAGGGCAGGGGGGCCCAGACCAGTTAGCATGCTCATGAGCATACTTGCAGTCACTTACGAGTGACCTACTGCTCTACAATGGATACAAGAGTCATGGAAAGCCCTACCAACAACGGGACATTTAAAAAAAGAAAAGAAAGGAAAAAGGCAGGCAGCTGCTTCCTGAAAAGAAATGGAATGCCACTCCCTTTATCATGCCACATTTTACAGAATGTTCCTGAATGGATATCCAAACACCAGTCTGTACTTAAGGGCAGAGACTGTAGCTGCTGCAGAGATTAACATTTAAATGTGTGTGAATCATGGTTCCAAAATCTTAACACATCTGGCTGATTGTAACCAAATTCAGATATGTACCTAATATTGTTAAATTTGAAATTTCTACCACTGTCTTCAATAAGTTGACTTCATTTGTTGTAAAAACGATAGAGCACATTATTCAAAAATATGTTTCTGAGAATTTGAAATCCAATGAAAATAATGTAATATGAAACAAATTATGAAGGGTTAACATTTGAATAAAATATAATCTTTTTGGATTTTCTTTAAGCTAGTCAGCATTTTTGACTTTCCATTAAGAAATCAGTGTTTTCCGGTTTGAGCTTGATGCTTTCCTCAAGGTATACAAAGACCCAGAATTAAAGGAACCGTCTGGACAAACATGAGTATATCTCTATTTCTAGATTTGTAAAGGACATTTATCCGTATGTCTAATCCACCCAACTGATTTATACAAGCATCCATCTATTCAACTATCTAGAACACATTTATATACGTAAAGGTATCTCAATATGAAGTTATGTGAGTACAGATTAATAAAGATAATTCTGGAAAATTATTCTAACAAATCTGAAAGACTCTACTAAGCACTTACTTGGAAGGATATAGCTGTGGGGAATATTGATGCGCTGATCTGGGGCTGTAGCCACTACTTGTTATTACTGTAAAACACAAAAACCAGTGCAAAAAAAAGTTGCTTCATGAATAAGTTTCACTAGAATGACAAAACCAGTTTGAAGAAATTATCATGTTCAAGAGATGTTTCTAATAATTCACTCATTTTCTAAACAGAAAAAATTCATTTTCTAAACAGAAACAGATGCCTCAATATTTTCTTCTAATTGAACTGCTTCAAGTTTGCTCTAAGAGCATAAAATGAAATCTTCCAGCATAAAATGAAATCTTCTCACAAATCCTTTCTCTCTTTCTTTTGCTTTCTCACATCAATAGCATATTCTTATGTATGATTAAGTATGAATAAACACCTTTGATTACAGATCATTAAGATTTCTTTCATGACATAAAAGTAAATTTTTAAAATTTTCAGACCTTATGTTTTATGTTTTAAATTCCAAATATGACAGCAACATATTGCTCTTCCTCCATATTTATTCTACTAAAAATACAATAAAAATTCAGGAAAAATGTGAAGTTCCAACTTCACTTTGAAATTGTAAAATGCTATCATTTTATATTGCCTCGAAGTCTACCAATCAGATGACAGTTAAGAATGCAGAGTCCAAAATGTCTGAGTACTAACTGGAATATGCATAGAAAACAAGAGGGGTAAGGCACCACATCTTAAGAAACATAATTGCATAATGCAGCAGTAATCATATTTACAAATACATTTTGAACTATCAGAGAAAGCACTTTTTTGAAAAGAACTTAAAGGTGAAAGCCAGGTCCTATTAACATGGTGTCCTAACATGCAGCCCCAAACTGGAATACATTCAAAAGTTTGGAAGTTTCTCTTTCCCTTCACCATCTGCCTTGACTAAGACAGATGTACTGCAAATATACGGACTCCAAAGTATTGAGGCAGTCCCTTCAGAGCCAATCCATACTGGGCAGGCACACAGAGTGTCTTTATTAAGCCATCTGCTGTTCATTCACTTTTCAAAAAGATTAAAGTAGTACACAATGCAGTGCTGGAATTAGTTTAGTCTAATCAATCACAGTTATACTTCAAAGTACTATGTCGTTCCTAAGTTGTTCATAATAATTCTGGAACTAAACTTTTAGAGTTGTAAAAGTGACAAATAGGTTTAGGTTGTTAACTATTTTATGAAACATGATATATTTCTATATCCAAATGCTATTAAGTACCCTTGTGATCTGTCATTTCATAAACACATAGAATTTAATGTATTTAAAATGCTATTTTGGCCTGCAGGCTCTGAGTATGTAAAGTGTATTATAGTTTTCATAGCAATCGTGCAGAAGTTTGTTTTCAAGGATATTATGAATCAATTTTGAAAATCACTGAATATGACAAGAGGTGTCATGTTCTAAATATTTTGATCAAGCAAAATTTAAGTGAATTTGCTATATAAATTTGAAAATCAATTGACCAATGAACCATTAATTTTCTACTGATTTATTAAAAGCTTAATGTTCAAAACGTTCAAATCACTTCAGTGAGAACACGCTTTTTCTACCACATCACAGGCACCAAGTGTACATTACATAATAGCAATAATGTTATTCCCCAGGAAATTCAGTCTGATTCATTAACTCACAATAGTGAGTACTCTTTTTAGCAAAAATATAGTTAAATGAGGCATAACTCCATGTGTTTTTGTCTCTTACTTATAAAACGTCACTTTGGCACACTCAAGACTTTATAGTAATCAGGTCTTCTCAAGATTGCAAATCACAAAGTTTTTCCAAAGAGACATCAAATAATGAAAAGAACCATCCACCACAGCAGCTTTTATAAAAAAAAAAAAAAAAGGCCAAAGAGCAAAATTTTTTAGAAAAAAGCCCCATACATCGGAATGGAAATCTGAATATATAGGATTTTCCTCCTGCTAATGAAGGAATCTAAGCAATATTAAAATAATGTACCCATAACAGTATCAAGTTTTAACATTTAAAATTTCTATTACTATCTGTATGTTCAATTTCTAAATAGAACGCAAAACCTCTGGCTCAGAAAACTAAGATGTTCACACAAAACTTGCTTCTAAACTAAAATGTATATTTATTCTAACTAATGAATCTGCAGATAACTGAAAACAACAAAATTTGACTAAAGTGGCTTGAGATTATGCTGACCAGAGTAAAATCTGTTCCTACACAGGGCAGCCTAATCTCCAGTATGGTTTCTGTACTACCATGTACAGACTTCAGAGATTTTCCTTTCATTCCCCATTGTCATTTCAGTAAACAAGAGATATTACCCCAAAGCACTCAACTTACTATATTCCATCATCTTTGCAAATAAAAGGAAGCAAACTGCTTTGTTTTCAAAAGGTCCTGAAAATTAATTACAACAAATTTCTATACAATATTACCAGATTCTCAGAGCATGATGCAAACAATTTTAAGGTTTTATTCTAATTACTGTGTCACCTTAGATCAGAGACTCTCATTGGGGTAGGCGATGGGAAGTAAGGGAGCTGGGCAGGTAGGAATTTTGCCTGTGAGGGGACGTTTAAAATGTCTGGAGACATTTTGGGTTGTCCTAACTGGGGAGTGCTACGGTCATTCTGGGATAGACAGTAGGGATGCTGCTAAACCTCTTCTAACGCAGAGGACAGATCCTTCCCTACAAACAAAAAAAGAAAAAAAGCCAAATTTTTAATAGTGCTGCTGTTGGGAATCCCTGACTTAGAACATTGTTGTCCAGAAGAACCTGTCCAACAACCTTCCGTGGAGCTGGAAATGTTCTGTAGCTGAGTTGTTCAACACCGTAGCCACTGGAAGACCACAGGCAGCTCTTAAACACTTGAAATGTGACTGTTGTGACTAGAGAAAATATTTTTCCTTTTACCAAATTTTAAGGTAATTGAGACTTAAATAGCCACCTATGGCTAGTGACTATGGGACAGCACAGCCCTAGATAATTTGTAAAAGAAAACTGGGCAACTATTTGTAAAGATAATGTGAGTGAATTTTAGACAGGGTGGCAGCTCACAGCTATTTCTTTTTCCATTCTTATATTTTCCAATGGGGTAGTACAGAAGGGACTCCCAGACTGATCAGAACACTGCTCTGCACTCATTCATACCAGTGAGCAGCTGTGAGGCCTGGACCGTATGGCCTTCACACCTTTAACTTACCTGCACCTCTGTATTCTTGCCTCTAAATCAGATCAGAAACCTCTGAAATTCCTTGTGCGGCTATTGTTCTACAATGTTGTCATTTAGCTATCAGTGAACTTGTGGTATGGTATTTAAGTATGCCAACAGTTCCTTAGTAATTTCATTTCTTTCCCTAAAAATGTGTTCCCATGCATTCACTCTGTGGAAAGTTTACCAGAGTTATGGTAGGTGAGCAATAAAGACTGCTAGAGTAAGTTGCTACCTATTTATCTCCTGGGAGGCAAGTGAATTGCTAGAAAGCCTACGGATTAGTGCATGTGAGTCTCAGTGCAGAGTATAATAAGAATTATTACCTCTTTCTGTCTGAAATACTAATATTTATGTGAATACACAGCAACTGCTCCCAATCAGTGTGAACTAATGAGAGTGGCTCATCTGTATCTATAAAAATGCAATGTATGCTACAAGGATACTATACTCAAGGACAGGCCTCCACTCTTTATACCTGAAGCACACCCACATACAACCTCCGTATGTGAGAATATGGATAAAACGTAAGCTGTTAAGGTAGACCAACAAAACCACGATGTAATTACCACAGAAACTTCTCTAGGTTTACTGTTCATCTTTATGCTATTCAAATTCCTTCTCAGGTTAAAAAAAAAAATCCTTTCACCAGATAATACACTAAACAAAATATTGTAGCTTAAAATCTTGAACGAAGTCAACTTAATGCGTGTCCTTTGTGCCCACCTGGGAGTTATCAGGTATTTATATTTAAAAGGATTGCTGTTTAAAGACATGCTATTGTTCTCTTTGAAGCACTGGGTGAAAGTAGTGCTCTCAGGTTGGGTTCTAATGCAACCAGCATGTGTCCTCCCAAAGCCCATTAACCTTTAATACTTGTCACTCAGCTGCTTACACAGGAGGAGTTTTTTTAAACCCAGAGAGGAAACAAGGTTATTTAGAAGGAATCAAATGGATAGTTTTACATCTTGAATGTTGGGAAAGGGAGTTTTTTACGCCATTTAAATGGACAAGTCAAGGGAACAAAGCCAACGATTACAACCTAATTATTAAATTAAACACTGTATAAAATAATTCCAAAGGAAGCCAGCCCTGCTTATTCCTAACAAGAAAGGCAGAGGACTGTTTTGCTGTCAACTGAAAAATCCAGCAAAACGATTCCAAGTATAATTTTTCTAAAAGTATATACTTCTATGACAATTAGTTCTCCAAAAACTAAATCTAACGCTAAATCGATAAAAATCCACATTCTCAAAACTCCGCTGCTTATTCACTAGGAAGATGATGAGCACCCCAATGTGTACGTAGCAACGCGTGAGCTTAAGGCTTTACCTGACCCAGTAAAAGTGTCAAGGGCTCCATCTCCAGTGGTGGTTGCCGCTTCACTGCTGTTCAAAGGCTCTGTTTTGACTGCAAGGAGAGACACTATGTAGAAGAATAAGTACATGTGAGTTTTATTTCTAAATTTTTATCAAAGACGCTGATTGTTCCACTAGTGGCTTTTCCAACTACCATGGGCATGCAAAAGAGAAAACTTGAGAAGTCGATGAGGAAAGTTTTGTTAATTTAGCTTCTAGAAAGTGGACATGCATTTGTAGAGGATTCAGTATAAAAATCCTCTGACTAAGCTAGTTCTCTCAGATCTGGGTTTTAAAGGCAGTCAACCTTATAAAGGGAAGCAGGAGTACACATATTTGCATTTGTAACTCACCTAAGCACCCCCTGACATTAGAGTCAAAAGACAGAAAAAATGAATCACAGTTGGTCTTCAGCCCATTTAATCCAAATTATAACAGAGATTTACTAGCTTGTATTTTATTCTTCCCAAGGAGACATTAAAAAAAAAATGATTAATTGCCTAAGAGCACAATGGAGGCATATGGAAATACAGAGACCATGGGCCTATTCCTGAGATGGGTGCAAAATGAGGCACTCTAAATAAGTTTCTGCTCTTAAATACACTAAACAGTCGTAAGATGGTGGGGTTTTTATTTTAATGGTAAAACAATTTTTAATGCATTACAGAGATAAGCAGAGAGAAAGAGATCATTTCTACAGCAGTGAGTACATCTTCTGAAAACTCTTTAAAATGTTATTATTACTCTGAAGTCGTCTATTTTGCCAAAATCCTCACTTGGGAACGATGTCAGCAGGCACACCTCATCACTGTCATTATTAGATGCAGTGAGTGGGGGAGGAGGGCTGTGAAAAAGCCTCGACTTGTTTTTGTCACACCATATTTTCCCTTTGTGGGCAAAGCTCTGCTACATACATCACAGCAGCAAGGGGATCAACTAAATTATTTTCTACTTAACACCTCTTATGTTTCCTGGTCATAAAACGGAATTATACAGTTAAATAACTCAGAGGCAAGCAGAAAACTATAAAGAAGAAAGCTGAAGACTAGCCAACCATGAGCAAACATGGCAAAAAGAATAGTGGGGTCAGAGTGTCCCCATCAACCAAGCAAGTCAGCAATGTTACTCTGTTAGAAAGGCAATTAACTGATGGAGAAACATGCAGTAATGATTATGCTCTCTTTCCACAGAAACAGAATTGACTGGACCCCCCCCCCCCGCCCCGCCTCAGTGAGCCCTGGGGTTAAGTTAGCATCCATGACTGAATAATGTCATGAAGATTTGCCCAAAGATTCAGAGGAGAACTGTAAAGTTTGGAAAGCAGAAGTGAAGAAATTTGGATTACTTATCCTAGCAAAAGGGAAGTTTAAGGTTACCCTATTTTTCAATAGCAACAATAATCTGAGGAATAGGTTTAGTTATTTGTATAATGATAAATAATGAATTGGTGGTTAAAACTTTATGGTAGTAAAATTTACATAGTAGTCCGTTTATAGTTATACCTGACTACTAATTATATTTCCCACTAGAAAATTATTTACTAATGGGGCACCTGGGTGGCTTAGTGGGTTAAGCGTCTGCCTTTGGCTCAGGTCATGATCCCAGGGTCCTGGGATCAAGCCCCACATCGGGCTCTCTGCTCTGCGGGAAGCCTGCTTCTCCCTCTCTCACTCCCTCTGCTTGCGTTCCCTCTTTAGCTGTCTCTGTCAAATAAATAAATAAAATCTTAAAAAAATTATTTAGTATTACAAAACTATTTATCAAGAGCTCATTTCTCCCTCATGACAATCATATGAGGTAGATAATATTATCATCTTAATTCCTCAGATAACAAAACTGAAGCACAAAGTAGCTAAATGACTTGTCTATAGTCACACAGCTAGTAAGAACTAGAATTTGAGACCAGGTGGTGTGGTTTCAGAATCTAAATTCTAAACCATACTGCCTCTCAGGAAGCACTAACTAATCAAGAATTCCTTTTATCTGTAAGAAGATGATCCAGAGTGTGACCTAAGTGGATGGAAAGCTCTCTGATGTAATGCCCACGTTCAACTTCTGACAAAAAAGCACAGCCCAAAGCCTTCAGCAACACTAATACAAGGGACAGTCTCTTGAAACTTCCAAATTCTAATGCTGGCTACCTTCCTATTTACCTGTGTCTAAATCTATAAACAATTGTAAAATAGATGTAAAAAAATTACATATTTTACTTGTGAATTGAGGAGAAAGGAGGAGAACGAGAGCTGGGTCTAAAAAACTAGTCTAGAAGCCAGACATGAGGATTAGTTCTGTTACTTTGGATCCCAACTTCATATTGATGTTGATTATAATCGCCTCAATTTGAGAGTTTCAGGTGGTCAAAAAGAGAAGGAAATAAAGGGAGACAAAGAGTTTGTGGTTGCATTCACCATCCTGGAAACATCTCTCATTAAAACTTTAAAGGTCTGAATGTAGTCAAACACAGACAAAGAAGTTCCATTTTACCGAGAAAAGGCATCCGTAGAAAGTATATAAAGAGAAGCATAAATGTCAAGATGTGTTCAATGTACTAACATGCACGGATTTTAAAGTACTAACTCAACAAATGGATTTGGGGAAAAACTGCACATTAATGCTAATTTATTTTTCATATGCAGTTAAGAACAAAAAGGAAAAGAGGGAAATTTGATTATGTTGCTACAAAAAGTAAATTATTCTCACATTAGGTGGACATCAACAAACATCTCTTGGCTCCAAGTAAAATGCAAAGTTAATTTGGTTTGATTTTGTAAAGAAAAAAATAACATTAGGTAATAATAAATAATTTGTTCTTCCAGGGGCAGAAAACTAAGAGAAGTGAAAGGGACATTCCATATATGATTAGTTAATTGAAAAGACAGAATACAAATAAATATCTTAATATTTATAAAACAGGTAACTAGTACAATGGAAACACTGTCTTAATTACAAAGCTTGAAAAATGCAAGTCATTTTCAATAAAGGTTCAAACATATTTGAAATGTATTCCATTTTCTTTTGTCTTGGTTTTGCTTCTGCACTTTCAATTAAATATACCATGTATTTTATTAGTGGCAGGCAACTTTGGTTTTAGTTAAATACGTGCAAGGCATTCCTGCAAAGATACTCATCAATGAAAGATCTTACTATTTTCTAAAACTTATAAAAATCCTCATTCCAAATGATTATCAGTGTAATTCATTGTCATGTTCAAATATAACTTTTTCTCACTGTATTTCACTTTTCTTAAATTAACACAGGTTCAACAGGGTTTTTAACTTGTTAGGACAATGTCCACAATCATTACATGCTATAAAATGGAAAGGACAATCTTCTAGAAGTGATAAACGTCATATTTTTCAACAAAATGAAACTTATAAAATAAATGTTTTGATTTCAAAAGTAACAAGCATATTTTAATGTCCTAAGTTAAAGAGTATTGTGGTTTTACTCTTCTCTATGTTCAAAATAAGTAATTCGGCATTCGAGGTTAATTCAGTAATTCAGGGTTTCTCTAAAGGATGACAAACTATATACAGCACTCTGTACAGAACTTATTATTCAAGAAATATTTGTATTGTCAACCCCCCCATTAGTTATATATTTGCAATTTGGATGTTTTTCATAGAGCCAAACTTAAAAAAAAAGAAAAAAGTCAAAATATTTTTAATATATTGATTGTAATATATTGGTATAATTGGATTTTATTTTTTACCTTTAAAAATAATTGCTATCTATGGACTAAATCAAAATTGTGTGATTATTGTCACGTGTCAGCTGTGCCTTGGCCTTCATCCCTACCCTCCTATGCATATTTTCAAAGCAAATTTAATCTTGTCTGTTCAGATTATCTTTGGAACTCAGGCACAACATTAATGTTAATTAAATAATTGTGAAGAGAGTCTGTTTATTATAATAATCCAAAATTCATGTTCGTTAGTTGCAGTAGCAGATTTAATCCTTGAAAAGAGAACGTGACCCACGTAATTTACATTTTACATTTCATCTTCCAAAATCTGTGCTTAAACTGGTGTACACTTAAAAGACATATATATGTTAATTCTAAATATACTTCTTTCTGAACCACAAAATCACCCGTAGCTCCTTCTAACAGCATAGGTTCTACAAAGAATTTCTGGAGGAGTTAGATTAGGAAGGTTACAATTTATAACACTGCAGGGGACATGCAGTATTGCCTACCCACTTTAATAATTAGTATAGCCTATGATTTATGTTGGTCTAAATCAATATATTCACTCTAAAATCTATGAGCACCAAGTGTCTTTCACTTCTAAATATCCAGAAAGTAATTTCGTAAAATAATTTGATAAAGCAATTTATGGTTTTCATTAAAAAGAAATCTAAAAAGAAATAGAGTCACAACAGTAGGTGGTTCTACTTCACACACAAACATATAACATTTGGAAATAAACCCCTTGCATAAGTCAATCATCTGTATAATAAATATAATAAGAATTCTGGAAGATTCTTTTCTCTGATATATAGATTTTAAATATAGAAAATGTTATAAATCTGATCAGAATGTCTGATTTAGGTTCCCTCAAACCTTCTCTTTAAAGCATTTTCTTAATCTCCATGTAGAATCAAATATTCCTTCCCTCTGCTATGCACCCACCTTGAACACATTATGCACTCATTACTTTCTTGTCTGTTTCCTTCTGCTGGACTTTTGGTCCCTTGATGGCCAGTATCAGATTCTATAGGTCATTGGGTTCCTATTTCCTAGCACAGAGCCTGGCATATAACAGGAACTTGATACATTTTAATTGAGAAAGTGAAAATCTACTTTTAGATCCTATCCTAAGCAATTCCAACAGATGTCTTTCTGTAAAGTACAACTAATCATGAATCTTGACACCATTAAGCAAATAAAAATCTTACCTATTTCTGTAAGTAACTTTTCATATGATTGGCATGCATTTACGTGAATAAATATGCATATGCATGACGTATACAGAGCATACAGAAAGCTTTATATCGGGGGTCAGCAAACTATAACCTACATGCCAAATCTTCCCCATGGCCTGTTTCTGTATAGCCTGTGAGTTATGAATGGCTTTTACATTTTTTGATAGTTGAAGAATATCAAAAGACAAATATTTGTGACATGTGAAAATTTTCTTTAATTCAAATTTCAGTGTTCACAGATCAAGTTTTATTTGAACACAGCCAAGGTCATTGTCTATGGCTGCTTTTGTGGAACAACAACAGACCTGGATAGCTAAAACAGAGACCACATAATCTGCAAAGCCGAAAATATTTACTATCTGACCCTTTACAGGGTCTATATGCTAGGGTATGATTGCATTTATTCCACTTTAATTGACAGTTCTACATTTTAACAATTTTACAAGCAACAAAAATTTGAAAGGAAAATTAGTTTCCAATATAAATCTGCAGATATAATTATATAATTAGGACTAAGGTACTGAAACACTTTAAATCAATTCAAGGAATAATGTAATATATTTAAAGAGTACCGATGCAGTATGGTAGGATATTAAGGTGACACTATCAACTTATTCATATTAGTAAAAACTATATAATTAAAGTCCTTCTGAAAATCTCAAAGTTAATGGAAAGATTTTCAAAAGCCACTAAATTAGCTTTTGCTTTTTCCTTTTTTTATAATAATCTTATAAAGTGATCCAATTCCCACAATAAAACCCAATATTAAAAATAAAACAGTTTAGGGGCATCTGGATGGCTCATTCGCTAGGTGTCTGCCTTTGGCTCAGGTCATGATCCCAGTGTCCTGGGATCCAGCCACACATCAGGCTCCATGCTCCGCAGGAAGCCTGCTTCTCCCTCTCCCACTCCCCCTGCTTGTGTTCTCTCTCTCACACTGTCTCTTTCTGTCAAATAAATAAATAAATAAAATCTTTAAAAAATAAATAAATAAAACGGTTTACTGTCAATGGGAGAGATATGCACCAAATCCTTAAGTCTGTACTATAAACACCCAACATACACCCATACAATAAACACCCCAAAGTCATTAAAATTCATAAATTCATAAATTTCATATCAATATGCCATCAAGACTACATCGTTAATAATCAAAGTATACCCAACATTTTATTACTAAAAGCTTGCCTTCTTTGGCCAGTTTACACATTCTAAATGCCAAAAAATATATTATATGACCAAACATTGGAGAGTCTTTTAACATAATGCATGTTTTCATTTTCCTTAAAAACTATTGCCTAGTTATTACTGAATTATTAATTAAAGAAAGGGAAATATACTGTTTTTTACTGGCAAACAATTTGTATTCCTATCTAATTTAAGACAAAAGCTTTGGCAGGGAAATATTATTATCCTCCTTTTATAGAAAGAGATTAAAGCTCAGAGAGGTTAAGTAACTTGTCCAAGGTGACGCAGTGAGTGTGTTCCTTCTGACACACAATTCTTTGTTCTTCCCACATGGCCATGTGACTATTAACATTAACACTAGGAATTAGGAAAATCTGAGGCTTAACATTTAGAAAAATGTTTCTGGTTCGGATTAGATCTAAATTACTAAATATTGAATGTACATATTTAAAGTTGCCCATGTTACATGAATATCTAAGAACAGAACAATAGCCAGTGAGCTAAAAATGTTTTTTACAAATGAAATATTAAAAAAAAAACTAGAATATTTTATGATGTGATGACTATGAAATTTAAATACTAGGATCCATAAATAAGGTTTTATTGGAACCTAATGAATCTCATCCATTTATGCATTGCCTATGCCTGTTTTTGAGTTATTGGTGACATAGCTGAGTAGATGAGACAGACATGGTATGCTCTATAAAGGCTAAAATATTTACTATCTGGCCCTTTATAGAAAAAGACCCTGAGTTAGAATTAAGAGAAACTGAATTCTTGCAACATATTTTAAGTATAAAATGTATATTTTAAGTGTGGAACTGAAAAACATTTTGAGCTAAAATTATAGAAAAACACAAATAATGGGTATAATGGAGTATTCTTCATTCACTGGCCATATACTTTAATTTAATTAGATACAGCAAGATCCAGCCAAACTGCCTATCCTAACTGCTCCCTTACAATGCACATTTCCAACAGGTAGGGAGGTCTTTTTAATCTTAAAATTGGGTGATTTCATCTTAGTGTTATAGTTTTGCTTTTATTTTTTGATTTTTATAGTATATTAACTTTTGATTTAGAAAAAAAATTTATGGGGCACCTGGGTGGCTCATTTGGTTGAGTGTCCGGCTTTTGGTTTCGGCCCAGGTCACGATCTCAGGGTTCTGGGATTGAGTCCCACATCTGGCTCCATGCTTAATGGGGAGTCTTCTTGAGGATTCTTTCTCTCCCTCTCCTTTTGCCCCTCCCCACACTCACTCTCTCTCTAATAAATAAATAACTTTAAAAAAAAAGTTTGTTTATACTTTTATATATTTTGTGTACATAAATGTAGTAATTATAGTTCAAACTATTTTAAGGGTTAATATTGATTTATAATTTTAAATGTATAGCTTTCACACTGATAATTCTTTAAATGATGGAATTTTAAATGTTTATGTTATACTTTAGGCACTTTAACTGGATTATTTATTGAAGCCCGTAAAATCACGGATATCTTTTTGCCATGTTAAGAATTTAAATTAAGACAGTCTGTAGGTTATGGAGATGACTGAGTTCGTATGTATGTACAATCTGCTTCACCTGCTCTTACTGATAGGACTGCTGTGCTGAATTAGCCACTTAGATGATATGTAGTTAGAAAAACAATAGCTGCATCTGTTGGTGTGACATTATAAAAAAACTGTAAGAAAAAACAGTACTGGTCTAAGGAATCTCAGATTAGAATAGTGGTTGGTAAGAAAAAAACATAGTCAACTGTTATCTATAAACAACAAAAAGTCATGTTTATTTCTCCTTTTTCTTTACAAGTACTTAACACAGAAAAGGAAGTGCAAACAGAAATAGCAACAGAAAGCAAACCAGAAGGGCAATAACACACACCCAAACACATGCAGTGTACCATCATCTCTCATACTTGTTGCAGAAGAGGGGGTGTTGCAACTCAGCAACCAGTCTGCAGTGTTTAAAACAGTCATGTTGTCCCCTGAGAACAGGAACAGTATAAGGGTTCATTGTCCGAATGCCTGCTCAGTGTACATGAATAGTCTTCAATGCTTGTACTGGTTCCTGACCTTTTAGCCAAAATCGTAGCTGCACTGTATGACTTTTACACTTTATCAGGTCTGTTTTAGTTCAGTTAAATACATACACATGATGATTAGTGAACTCCAAGGTTTGATTCCAGAGTTTTTAAAAATCTTATTATAGGTATCCAAGTTAAGGTTTAAATATAAATGTTCTTACACCAGAAATCATCACTAAACAATCTTATAAATTTGCAATCCTATAATTAATTAGCTAAAATTATAGATGCAAGTTTAGAGACAAATAAACATCATAAACAAGGAAATGTTAATCTACAATGGGTTTGGTGTAAAACATTATTAAATACAGGCAAATTGCAACGCACACAACTTTACAAAAAAAATTTAGACTGCACAGTTATTTTAAATTAAATGGGAAGAGGTGTATCAATTTCATAAATACTGAAAATTTAAAAGAAAATATGATGTGGCAAATGCTGTTATGTAATAATATAATTAGTTTATAAATTAAAACTAATTTCATATAATTTTTCTCTTCTTGACTAAAACAGATCTATAAAACTTCAAAATGATGGAGAATAACTTAAAAAGTAGTTTACACATAATGTGTATATATTTGACATCTAAACATATTCTGATGTAAAAATTGACCATATATTTTGACGGCTGAATGCATTTTATAAAATTAGTAGGGCAGAATATCTGAAATAACTGTTATTATTACCACATACTGTGGCATAATTATAGGCTAATCAAATGAGAAAGTATCTGAAAAAAATTTAATTCCCAATTTAAATACATCAGGTATTAATCTCTTTGAAAAGAAAGTGCAGCAGACATAAATATTTTTCTATTCTCAAACCTCTTTTAAGAAAAAAAAAGAAAAATTTGGGATAGCCTTTCTCCCGCAATTCAAAATAAAACCAAAAACTAGTATACTAGTATCATTTCTTTTCTCTCTGTCTCTGTCTCTGTCTCTCTCTCTCTCACAAGATCAGAGTGCAAATATTTTTGGCCACATTGTCTACACTTTTTTTTGGAATACTTACAAGGGCAAATACAAAAAGGGAGCTTTGCTAAAAGCCTTCAAAATGTTGTTCAGGGATATCTATTCTTTCTGAATTTTTCCAGCTATAGAGGAGGTGCAAAAGTTTCAAGAAAATCAACAGAATAACAGACAGTCTATTAGCCATATATTCCCTGGATATAATGCTGATTATGTTATTCCTGATAAGGGTTTATTTATTAGCAGATCCCTAGCATGTGAAATTACAGCAAACATCGAAATGCATTTCTGGGTGTCTCTGGGGTGGTACACTTACCTCCTGTTCCATTTGTGGTGACAGATGTGCTGCTGAGATTAGCCTTCTCCAATTTGGAGCTACCAGGAGTATCACCACTTCCAACCAGAGGATGAGGACTTGTGAGGTCCTGCATTTCCATAGACCTGTTAGAGCAGGAAGCAGCAGAGCAAAAGCTGAAATCTCAGCAATGACTTCTTAATAAACTATAGGTATTATTCTACTGAGCACACATGTGATCTCACAATAAGAACTGAGACTAATAGCTAAGACTTCTTTGTTAACCAGGTGAACATGACAGTCCATTAAAAATTAGTAAATAATAAAATTTATATTTTATTTAAAATAATAAAATAATTTAAAAAAGCTTCCATGGTAGTCTAGGCTCATAATTTATTTGTAATCCTACAACTATTCTGTATAATAAAGTACAGAAGAAAGATTCTGTCATCTTAGCAGTTTAAGTTGATAGGGATACCTTCCCTCCTACACTGACCATCTCAGTTATAAACATGTAGAAATGTTGGAAATATTCAACTCCTAAAATGTGATGTATTCAGCCACCAGTGACAAAGAAATCAATAGCTAGAAATAAAGTATAAACTCAAAGTCAGAACAGAAACTTCTAGCTGACCTTGTGGATCCAGGGCTGAAAACTGAGCTGAAGGACTGAGGGTTAGAGTTGTTACACCTTTAATATCTACTTAGGAATAGACGGGTTGACTTAAGTCTGTTTCAGGGAATGTGCTGGAATTGAGCCCCTAAATAAAACCGAGACTCTTGAAAGGCTGACGCTCTTTGGAAACAGAAACTAAAAAAGCAGGATTTCACAGTAGTCCAAAGAAGGCATACATGCTTCAATGAAAGAAGAGAAACACAGGAGATCAACAAAAATCAAGAGAGCTTATCACCAACAAGCTACCCTGTAAAAATACTGAAGGAAGACCTTCTGGTCAAAGGAAGGATACCAGATAAAAACCCAGAGCTATAGGGAGGAATGAAGAGTGACAGAAATGTAAATGTATAGGTAAATACAAAGGTTATCTTTTGTTTTTCTTTTAATTCATGAAAGACAGCCAACTGAAGCCAAAATAAAAAGTGATCTATAATATGGTATAGGAGTAAAATATATGTCAGTAGCACAAAGAGAGTGGGACAAAATTATATTCTTTTAAGGTTCTTTCATTTGACATGAGGTATTATGATATACTTGGAAAAGACATTTAGGATACGTCAAGTAACACCTAACATTAAATATTAATAAGAAAAAATTAACAGATATATATAACAAAAATTCAATGGAAAAATTAAAATAAAGTATTTTAAAAATTTGATTAACCCCAAAGACCAGGAAAAGAGAAAGGAAAAAAGAACATATGTGAAAAATAGGAAACACGTAGCAAGATAGCACACTCAAACCTAACCATATCAATGATTATGCTAAATATCAATGGACTAAACACTCTAATGAAGAGCCAAAGATTGTCAGATTGGATTAAACAACCACAGCCCAACTATTAGGGATCTACAAGAGAAGTTTTTTTTTTTTTCTTTAAATTTTTACAAGAGAAGTATTTTAAATACAGACACACCGTGATACTATGGTATATTGCCCAGAAGAATTCATTATTATAGCTGCTGGTAGTGTTACCAACTGACAGTTCTCAACTAAATTCCTCTCCAAGACTTGCCCTCAAATAAAGAGTCATTTTGACCTAAATCACACCCTGTCTGGGGTTAGCCCTCATCTACTGACTGACCATGAAGGGGTATAAAGTTATCACCCTCACCCTGAAAGTCACTTGAATCTAGAGCCACCATAAGATCAGCTGAGACCTTTGTTGCAGTTGCACTGATGATCAAAATCTCTCAGTCTAATCATGCTTCCATCATTCCACCAAAAATATTACCACTGAAAGCACACTCCAATAAATTCCTGGCACATAAATCTCCATGTTAGAGTCTGCTTTCTGGGAACTTGAGCAGTGATAAGGCACAACTAGGTTCAGAGTAAAGAATGGAAAACAATGTAACATGTAAATAATAAACATAAGATAAATGTTTGGGCTATTATAATATCACAAAATGGTCTTCAAAATGAAGAGTATTACCAGATACAAAGAGATGAATTAAGAAAATGAAAGAAATGATAAATTCCTCACAACCCTAGATGTGCATGTACCTACTAGCCCGAGCTTCAAAATATATAAAACAAAAACTAACAGAATTAAGTGAAGAAACTGACTAGCAGTCCATGGTCATACTTGGAACTTTTACAACATTCCTTCCCCAATAACCAATTGCAAAAGTAGACACTGTCACCAACATGCTGTAGTTGACAGTTATAGTATACTAATACCCAATAATTATAGAATACACATTATTTTCAAGTGCACATGGAATGTCTACCAGGATGACTGTCAGGTTGGGCATAAAATAAGTATCATTAGATTTTAAATTAAACCTTACAGAGTATAGTATCTGGCCATAATTAATTAAATTAGAAAGCACTGGTAGTAAAATACATGAAATAATCATTAATACTTGAAAATTAAACACCACAATTCTAAGTAACCTATGAGTCAAAGAAGAAATCACCAATGAATTTAGAAAATGCTTAGGACAAAATACTAATGAAAACACATCAAATCACCCCACATATAGTCAACTGATCTTTGACAAAGTAGCAAAGACAATACAGTGGAGCAAATGCAGTTTCTCTAAAAAATGGTGCTGGAAAAACTAGACATCCACAAACACACAAAAAATAAGTCTAGACAGAGACCCTATGCCCTTCACAAAAACTAATTCAAAACTGATCATAGACCAACATAAAAAATGCAAAGTTATAAGTTTTGAATACAACACCAAAGATAGAATCCATGAAAAATAAATACTGGTAAGCTGAGCTTCGTTAAAATTAAAAACTTCTCTTCAAAAGTCAATGTCAAGAGCATTCAAAGACAAACCACAGACTGGAAGATAATATCTGCAACAGACACATCTGATAAAGGACTGTTATCCAAAATATATGAAGAACTCTTAAAACTCAACAATAAGAGAAAAACAACCTGCTTAAAAAAGGGACAAACACTTCAACAAACACCTCACCAAAGAAGATATATAGATGGCAAATAAGCGTATAAAAAGATAGTCCACACCACATGTTATCAAGGAAATGCAAGTCAAAACAATAAGATAACACTTCACTATTTACTAGAATGGCCAAAGTCTGGAATACTGACAACATCAAATTCTGGCAAGGATATGGAGCAAGAGGAACTCCCATACATTGCTGGTGGGAATGCAAAATGGTACACTCACTTTGGAAGACAGTTTGGCAGTTGCTTATAAAACTAAACATACTCTTACCATATGATCCAGCAGTCACGCTCCTTGATATTTATGTAAAGGAGTTGAAAATATATGTCCACACAAAAACCTGCACACAGATGTGTAGAGTAGCTTCATTCATAACTGCCAAAACTTGGAAGCAACCAAGATGTTCTTCACTAGGTGAATGGATAAATTCTAATATAGAGAGTCAATGGGCCATTATTCAGTGTTAAAAGGAAACAAGCTTTCCAGCCGTGAAAAGACATGAAGGAATCTTCACTGCATATTACTAAGTGAATAGACAATCTGAAAAGTCATACATACACTATGATTCCAATTATATGATATTCTAGAAAAACAAAACTATCTTGCTGGTGTAGAGATTAGGGAGGGATAAATAGAAGTACAGAAAATTTTTAGGACAGTGAACATATTCTGTATGATCTTGTAATAAAAGATATATGTCATTATACATTGTCCAAACCCACTGCATATACAATACCAAGAGTTAACCCTAAAGTAAACTGTGGACTTACAGATATGATGACAAGTCAGTGTAGGTTCATCCTTGGTAACAGATTCACCGTTCTGGTGAGTAATAACAATGGAGGAGGCTATACATGTATTGGAACAGAGAGTTTATGGGAAATCTCTGTACCTTCCTCTCAGCTATGTTATGAACTTTAACTGATCAAAATATAAAGTCCTTAAAACAAAACAAAAAAAAGACTGCATATCAATATTTGTGATATGCAAATGAAGCAGTGGCTAATGAGAAATTTATATCTTTAAAAGATTATACTCGAAAAGGAGACGGGTTTAAAATCTGTGATCTAAATTTCTACCCTAATAAACTAAAAAAAAGCAAATTAAACCCTAAGTAAATAAAAGGAAGAAAACAATAAAGAGCATAAATCAATGAAAGAGAAAAATCTATGAATAATAGAGAAGAAGAAGATCATTAGAGATACTAAAAATATTTAAAAAGATAATAAGGAAATATTATGAACAACCTTATGTCAAAGCATTAACTACTTTAAAATCAGCAGAATTCTTAAAAGACACAACCTATAAAACCAACTGAATAAAAAATAGGAAATCCAAATAGTCCTGTATCAATTAAAGAAATTGAACTCCTAATTAAACACTCCCCCCCAAAAAAACCCCACAAAAAACAAACAAAAAAACCCAATTCCAAGGCCATAGTAGTTTTCTTAGTGAATTCTAATAAATAAGGAAAAATAACAGTCTTTTATAATTATTTCAAAAAAATAAGAGGTAACATATTTCATTCTATTTTATGAGAAAAGGATTACTCTCATCTAAAAACTGACAAAGACAATTTAAAAAGAATTGTGGATCTATATTTCTCATGAACATAGATGAAAAAATTTAACAAAATATTATCAAGTGAAATGCAGCAATAAAATAGCTACTATATCATGCCTAAGTGTGCTTTATCCCAAGAATGCAAAGTTTATTAAACATTTGAAAATCAAACAATGCAATTTAGTATATTAACAGAATATTATTTCAATGAGTACAAAAAAGCATTTAACAATATTCATCATCCATTCACAATAGAAACTTTCAGTAAACTAGAAAAGAAATATTTCCCTCACATCTGATAAAGGTCATTCTTGAAAAATCTATAGCTTAAATCATATTTAATGATGAAATATTGAATTATTTCTCCCTAAGATCAGAACTAAGGCAAGGATATCTGTTTTTCCCATTTTCATATATTTTACTGGTAATCTTAGCCAGTAAAGGAGGACAAAAATAAATAAAAGGGGTAAAATTTAGAAAG